ACACAGAAAGGCCAAAATCCGTCTGAACCACAGCCGATGAGCCGCTGAAATAGGCGTAGAGTTTACCTGACGCAAGGACCAGGGGAAGATTGACCAGGGATCCATTCACCTAGGGGAAAGCGAGACATGAAGAAATCTTTAAGAACAGGATGCTTGTCTGGCATGGGAAAATCAGGATTCCCCCTGTGATGAGGATTCCATAGCAGGCATGTAGAAGTCTTTACGCTATCTTCCCCCACCTCAGGGGCAGGGAGGGCCATGACCATGGTTGGAGAAGGGGGAGAAGCCAGAGAATACCACATTCCAGCTTGTACTTGACTGGTGTAGCATCCCTTCAAGACAGCTGTGTCCACTCTGATTTAGAGCGGCCATGTGGCTCTTGCCCGGCTACTTATTGGGGAAAAAAGCAAAGTGTACGAGAAGTCATGGAACTTGTCTCACCTGCACCTGGCCATACTGTCCTTCTGCTATGGCAATATGCTCACCGTAGACATCGAGCTCTACCAGGTGCGTCCAGGACACTACAATGGAGCCCCTGTGCACATTCTCTACTTTGATGGTGAAGTCGGGGAGTTTCCCAGGGGGGCCACAGTACTTGCTCAGGGTGTACTTGCAGGCTCCTTGATAATCAAACATGACTCCATCAAACGTGGTGTAGTGAGGATGACCAAACACCCAGCAGGTGCCATATTTCACAGGGTAACAGCCTCGGATGCCATCCGCAAGGCTGCATGTCTCCAGAGCCCCGCAGGCATGATCCTGGCACTGCATGGGCTGGGCAGGCTGCCGGCAGCTGCATTTCCTGCTGCAGGTGTCTGTCAGGATCACCTCCTCTCCCAGCTGGTGATACTGACCATTCAACGTGCAGCCGCACTGTCTCAGGGACACACACACTGCTCCGCTGAGAATGTAGCCTTTGTTGCAAACACAACCCTCTCTGCAAGGCTGGGTGCAGTACAGGGGGGCAGTGGAATCCATGCAGCTGGCAGGACAGGCAGTGGCACAGGGTTCATAATGGCTGTTCTCTGGACAAGTGATCCCTACAATCAAAGGAAGGTAGGAAGGAGGAAATTGTTAGCGCATGCTGAATCATATAAATGAACCAATGTTTGAGCACCTGCAACTCCCACTGAAGTCAGTTGAAGTGGTGGGCCTATTAGCTGTAACACATGTCCTTTGGTCACTTCTGTCCATGCTTGATCCAGTGACAGATGGCTATCTGACAGATGGCACAATGCCATCTCTGCTGTACCAGGGTTACGTGCCTCCTCTGCAGATCCCTGACTCTCTTCCATTCCTATCTTCACCCCCTGCTTCAGCCTCCCTTTCTGACAAAATTAATCACATCCTGCTCTCCAAGACTGCAGCATTCCCCTCTGGGGTCAGCCATTCTCCCCACAACGTATTCTGCTGTCTCATCTCCTGTTCTAAAGCATCTCCAACCCTTCTCTGGACAAAAAGAACAGGAGTACTTGTGACACCTTAGAGACTAACAAATTTATTTGAGCATAAGCTTTCGTGGGCTACATCCCACTTCTTCGGATGCATAGAATGGAACATATAGTGAGGAGATATATATACACACATACAGAGAGCGTGAACAGGTGGGAGTTGTCTTACCAACTCTGAGAGGCCAATTAAGTAAGAGATAAAAACTTTTGAAGTGATAATCAAGATAGCCTAGTACAGACAGTTTGATAAGTGTGAGAATACTTACAAGGGGAGATAGATTCAAGCCTAAGTTGATTGTATCTAGTTTGCATATCAATTCAAGCTCATTCACCTGCACATCTACCAATGTGATATATGCCATCATGTGCCAGCAATGCCCCTCTGCCATGTACATTGGCCAAACCGGACAGTCTCTACGCAAAAGAATTAATGGACACAAATCTTACATCAGGAATCATAACATTCAAAAACCAGTAGAAGAACACTTTAACCTGTCTGGTCACTCAATGACAGACCTGCGGGTGGCAATTTTGCAACAGAAAAGCTTCAAAAACAGACTCCAACGAGAAACCGCTGAGCTTGAATTGATATGCAAACTAGATACAATCAACTTAGGCTTGAATAGAGACTGGGAATGGCTGAGCCATTACAAACATTGACTCTATCTCCCCATGTAAGTATTCTCACACTTCTTATCAAACTCTCTGTACTGGGCTCTCTTGATTATCATTTCAAAAGTTTTTTTTCTCTTACTTAATTGGCCTCTCAGAGTTGGTAAGCCAACTCCCACCTGTTCATGCTCTCTGTATGTGTGTCTTGTGACAGACCCAGACCAGTGGGGTACAGGAGTCTGGTAGAGGGCAAATATACTGGTCACTGGATGAGTAGTTTTCTGTTTTCTGTTCCCTGAGTGACCAGAGCTGCACTAGAGTAATCAGGAACCTGCTAGAACCAGTTAAGGCAGGCAGGCTAATTAGGCCACCTGGAGCCAATTAAGAAGAAGCTTCTAGAATCAATTAAGGCAGGCTAATCAGGGCACCTGGGTTTTAAAAAGGAGCTCACTTCAGTTTGTGGTGGGAGTGTGAGGAGCTGGGAGCAAGAGGTGCAAGGAGCTGAGAGTGAGAGGGTATGCTGCTGGAGGACTGAGGAGCACAAGCGTTATCAGATACCAGGAGGAAGGTCCTGTGGTGAGAATAAGGAAGGTGTTTGGAGGAGGCCATGGGGAAGTAGCCCAGGGAGTTGTAGCTGTCATGCAGCTGTTACAGGAGGCACTATAGACAGCTGCAGTCCACAGGGCCCTGGGCTGGAACCCGGAGTAGAGGGCGGGCCCGGGTTCCCCCCAAACCTCCCAATTGACCTGGACTGTGGGTTCTTCCAGAGGGGAAGGTCTCTGGGCTGTTCCCCAACCCACATGGTGAATCTCTGAGGCAAGAAAATCCGCCAATAAGCGCAGGACCCACCAAGATAGAGGAGGAACTTTGTCACAGTGTATATATATCTCCTCAATATATGTTCCATTCTATGCATCCGAAGAATTGGGATGTAGCCCACGAAAGCTTATGCTCAAATAAATTCGTTAGTCTCTAAGGTGCCACAAGTACTTCTGTTCTTTTTGTGGATACAGACTAACACGGCTGCTACTCTGAAACTTCTCTGGACAAGGTATTATAACCTCCAGCACGTCCAGGTAATTCTCAGCATGGGGTGGAACTGGACAAGAAACCTCCAAGGTAAGTTTTGTATGAAATCTAGGGAGCTGGACCAATGCCAATGTACACTAGCTGAAGATCTGGTTGTGGAAATAAGCTATATTATAGCATCATATTCTTAACTGGCGTAATCTTGCAGATCATAATTAAAGTACATAGCCACATATGTACTTTTCTGTTTAGAATCAGATAATAATTGGTCACACTTTATATTAAGGTTCCATTTATAAATAGTTAATAAATGATTAATACATGTTTTAATAAATGATCAAATGACTGTCAAAGAGTTCCATTGGTTAACAGACTACATATAACCATCTATCTGTTTCATAGCTTTAAGACCAGAAGGAACCATTAGATCATTTAGTCTGACCTCCTGGATAAAACAACTCATACGCTCATGTCTGTAACATGCTTATAATACCCAATCATGTATTAACTTTTTATAAGCCATTTATAAATGTAACTTTATCCTAAAGTTTGATTGAAACCTATATACATTTAATATGAGATTTAAATGATTATAGGTGATAACAGGTGAAGTACAAATAATGAAAATTAATTATATAGTTTCAGGAAATAACCCAGATCATTAGACAGCAAAAATTACACTTTAAGTACTGGGCGGGCATATTGTACTCTACTGGGAATAACATATATTCTGAGAAAATCCTGCTATTATTATTTACTATTTGTATTAAAGTAGCATCTAGACACCTGAACCGAGATCAGGGCCTTGTTATGCTAGACACTGTACAGAGACTAAGAATAGTAAGAAACAGTCCCTGCATCAGAGTTTACAACCTAACTAGACAACAGATGGAGAAAAGGATTACTACCACCAGTTTACAGATGGAGAACTGAGGCACACAGACTTGCCAAAGGTCACGCAGGAAGTCTGTGGCAGAGCAGGAATTGAACTCAGACCCCAGTTTAATACCTTGCCCAAGGGGTCCATCCTTCCTCTCCAATGCAGATGAAATTGTTAGCAATAATGACACCAATAATTTTATTTCTTACCGGCTCTCCCACCCCAAGTCAGTGGAATCTGAGAAGTAAACAAAGGGTCTGATTCTAATCTCACAGCTGCATACGTCAGAAGTAACTCCACTGGAGCCAGTGTGGAAATGAGATCAGAATTAGGCCCAAAGGGTATTTCCTGTGTGACCTTGGGTGGACTTTGGCCTATAGGGGTGAGAATTGCAGCGCACCCTAGTGTGCTGTGCTCTAACTACCCATGTGGATGCTGCTGGCATGAACTAAAGGGTAACTAGTTCACGCTAGCACTGCCTGTATGAAAGACGACTATATTAACGTGAACTAGGTAACTTTTAGTCCACCCCAGCAGCGTCCACATGGGGCAACTAGAGCGCAACAATTAGGTGTATTCTACAATTCACACCCCCGGAGTCCATACTGCCGTGCCGTGTAGACCAGGGGTTCTCAAACTGGGAGTCGGGACCCCTTAGGGGGTCGCGAGGTTATTATATGGGGGGTCATGAGCTGTCAGTCTCCACCCCAAAGCCCGCTTTGCCTCCAGCATTTATAATGGTGTTAAATATAGAAAAAGGTGTTTTAATGTATAAGGGGAGGTCGCACTCAGAGGCTTGCTGTGTGAAAGGGGTCACCAGTACAAAAATTTGAGAACCACTGGTGTAGACATAGCCTGAGGCTCTGCGTGGCTCAGGTTCCTATCTATGGAATAGCAGTGCCCTGCCTCACAGAAGTACTGTGAGGAAAAAAATGTATTGAAGATTGTGAGGCAATCCGTAATTGCAGTAATGGAGGCCATATGAGTGCTTTACACACAAAATGGTTAGCTAAAGATTTGTAAAGATTTTACTCACCACAAAACTGGTCTGTTCTCCACTGCCCAACAGTGACGTTGGCTGCCTGGCAGCTCTCTGTGTAAGCGCCTAGAACCCCACACAGCACAGTCCGATTCCCCCTGGACATGCAGAGGTCATACATACAGTTTTCCACCAAGCCTGCCTGGGATAGGGTCTGAGCGCAGGCTGTGAAGGGGCCTGGAGACATTTTCATAATGCCGCAGTAGTTGTGACCAGAATAACGAGCCTGTTCAGCAGCGGGACAAGAAGGCAGCTCCTGGTCCTCCACACACTGGCGCCTGTCACCCTTCACCTGCCAGCTTGTGGCAAAGAGAGCAGCTGACGTGACTAAGGTGCCATTTGGAGTCTGGAAGTCATCGGAGGGGTCACCAGTCAGTGTCCCGCACAGGCCGCAGGTGAAGTTACGGTAAGTCGAGGGCACGGTGACCTCCACACGTTGAATCCCATCATAGGAAACCTCCACCCCAAAATCAGTGGCAACTTTCACAGAGAAGCCATTCTGGTGGGCTCGGATCTTCCCATTGAGAAGCGTGACCGGAAGGAGAGACTTTATCCCATTCACCTAGCAGGGGATTGATGAGAATAAAACACTGAGCTCTTCTCTAGTGATCTTCATTATAAAGTACTCTAGAGGCACTGGGCCAGATCCTCAGCTGGTGTGAATCAGCACCATTCTATTGCCTTCAGCTGAGCTACACTGATTTACAACGGCTGAGGATCATGCTCACTAGTTTATTTCTCCTCATGGCCCCGCCTTATAATCTATAAGATTCTACATGGGGAGCAGATTTCTGAGAGAAGAGGGCTCTTTAATCCAGCAGACAAAAAGGCAGAATAAAAATCAATGGCTGGAAGCTGAAGAGAAAGAAATTCAGAGCGGAAATGAGATGCATTTTTTTTTTAACAGTGAGGGGAATTAACTACTGGGACAACTGACCTAGCAATTCTCCATCGCTAAGAATCTTTACATTCAAACTGCATGTCTCTTTTAAACATATATGCTCACCTTAACCAGAAGTCATAGGACTGATGAAGCAATCAGTGGGTGAAATTCTGAGGCCATGCTTAATGATCATAAGGGACCACCCTTCTAGCCAGAAAAATCTATGAATATATAGCATCTAAAGACCTGAAAGGGTTGATTTTAGGACTGGATTATTTTTTTTTAATTTACATTAGAAATCCAGGTTGTGCCTACCTGTTTTTTTTTTTCCTGAAAGACCCTATGGCCAACCAGAAAACTAAGAGGATTATAACATTAGAGACCCCATGCTAGTAAACCAGACTGATTGAGAGGGGAAGAAAATTTCATTGAGACTGTTTAAAACTCTGTTTTGTTTGCTTGTTTTGTTAACTCCTGTTTAACTCAGAATCAAAGAATATCAGGGTTGGAAGGGACCTCAGGAGGTCATCTAGTCCAACCCCCTGCTCAAAGCAGGACCAATCCCCAACTAAATCATCCCAGCCAGGGCTTTGTCAAGCCTGACCTTGAAAACCTCTAAGGAAGGAGATTCCACCACCTCCCTAGGTAACCCATTCCAGTGCTTCACCACCCTCCTAGTTGGAAAGTTTTTCCTAATATCCAACCTAAACCTTCCCCACTGCAACTTGAGACCATTGCTCCGTGTTCTGTCATCTGGTACCACTGAGAACAGTCTAGATCCATCCTCTTTGGAACCCCCTTTCAGGTAGTTGAAAGCAGCTATCAAATCCCCCCTCATTCTTCTCTTCTGCAGACTAAACAATCCCAATTCCCTCCAGCCCCCTAATCATTTTGGCTGCCCTCTGTTGAACTCTTTCCAATTTTTCCACATCCTTCTTGTAGTGGGGGGCCCAAAACTGGACACAGTACTCCAGATGAGGCCTCACCAATGCCGAATAGAGGGGGATGATCACATCCCTCAATCTGCTGGCAATTCTCCTACTTATACAGCTCAAAATGCCATTAGCCTTCTTCGCAACAAGGGTACACTGTTGACTCATATCCAGCTTCTCGTCCACTGTAACCCCTAGGTCCTTTTCTGCAGAACTGCTGCCTACCCACTCGGTCCCTAGTCTGTAGCAGTGCATGGGATTCTTCCGTCCTAAGTGCAGGACTCTGCACTTGTCCTTGTTGAATCTCATCCGATTTCTTTTGGCCCAATCCTCTAATTTGTCTAGGTCCCTCTGTATCCTATCCCTACCCTCCAGGGTATCTACCACTCCTTCCAGTTTAGTGTCATCTGCAAACTTGCTGAGGGTGCAATCCACTCCATCCTCCAGATCATTAATGACGATATTGAACAAAACCGGCCCCAGGACCGACCCTTGGGGCACTCCGCTTGATACCGGCTGTCAACTAGACATGGAACCATTGATCACTACCCTTTGAGCCCGATGATCTTGCCAGCTTTCTATCCACCTTATAGTCCATTCATTCAGCCCATACTTCTTTAACTTGCTGGCAAGAATACTGTGGGAGACCATATCAAAAGCTTTGCTAAAGTCAAGGAATAACACAGGAGAAAAAAACACTTGGGAGAAAATAATCTCTTTGCCAAACAGACTGCACTTTTACCTACTGGGACAAAGTGGTAATTTTATGTAATATTTTTCTCAGTGATATGCCTGGCAATGACTTCCTTGACCAGGGATAAGACACTGCTATTGGGGCAGAGCAGGAGATCTGAGGTGTTTGTGTCACTAAACTGTCTGTGGTGGTATGAATGAGCTGTTAACTGGCTGAAACCGACCCATATTAATAGAGGCTCCAAAAAGACAATGGGGAACCCAAGGACTGAACAATGGACACCTAACAAAGGGAAACTCGCGTAGATGAGACATGTGAACTTAGCAGGAGTCCTGCAGGAGGAGATCAATGGACCAAAGGGTGTCCGTTGCTGTCTTAAGAGCTGGTCTTTGGAGAGACACAGAAGCTCTCACCTGAGGCTGGGACTGACAATGGGTACGTCTTCACTACCCGCCGATACGGTACGGCGGGTAGCAATCGATATATTTCGTTAAGACGCGATATATCGATCCCCGAACGCGCTCACCGTCGACTCCGGAACTCCACCAGAGCGAGCGGCGGTAGCACAGTCGACGGGGGAGCCGCGGCCATCGATCCCGCGCCGTCTGGACCCCAGGTAATTCGATCCAAGATACTTCGACTTCAGCGACGCTATTCGCATAGCTGAAGTTGCGTATCTTGGATCGATCCCCCCCCTAGTGTAGACCAGCCCAAAGAGAGAGCCCAAGCCAAAATGGATTCTGCAGCAGCCCTGATGTTGGCCAGTCTGAACTCTGCCTCCACCTTTGCTTCTCTGCACTAAGCTGAGGACTTTCAGTGCTAGGCTCCAGTTGATTAATAAACCCAGCTCTGATGTGAAAGGGCTGCCTGGCGTCACTGCAAACACTCATTGAGGTGCATTGGTCCCTGAAAAGGGTAAAAGTTTCTGACCAGGAGTCTGCCTCAGTTGGACTCACTGGCCAGAGGTCCCGGCATGAAGCATGAGGGCTTTAGCCATGAGGCTCGGTCATGGCCTGCCCTTAAAGAAGTGCGGGGCTGGCACAGTGATGGGGTTCCTTCAAGGGACTGTTTAAAAGCTGGGACATAGCAGAGATCCTGTGGATTTGTGACCCCTATGCCAGTGTCTTCCCAGTGGAGTACTTAGGTGTCCTGAGTATGGCCAGCGACACCAGCCCTTCCCCACACAGCGCGAGGGCAGGGAAGCAGCTGCCAGAGCCCCACCCCCGGGCAGGAATTCTGGCCCAGCTTTCCCAGTCTGGAGCTTCCGCCAAACTGGAGCAGCCTGAGATGAACTGGCACGAACACGCCTGCCACCGCACCCTCGTTTTCAGGAGCACAGCACTGATGACAACACGCCCTAGGGGAGCCCTTTCCTTGGAGTAACTTGTTAAATACTAACCAGTACGGGCAGGTTGGGATTGGGAAGCGTCTGCCTACACCCCAGCCAGACAGCAAATGTTACTGCCACTCTGCCCGTGGGGCAGGTGGGGGGAGGAGGGCTGAGGGGCATAGGGCAGGTGGAGGGAAGGGGCTGAGGGGCAGGTGAGGAATGGGGCTGAGGGGAAGGGCCTGAGGGCAGGTGGGGGGAGGAGGGCTGAGGGGCATAGGGCAGGTGGGGGGCTGAGGGGCAGGTGAGGAACGGGGCTGAGGGGAAGGGGCTGCAGGCAGATAAGGGAGGCTGGAGCAGAGGGGGTGGGACGGCGCTGAGGAGAGCATGCGCGGGGATCTCCCGCCTCTCCCATCCGCTGGCAACGGCAACTGGAAGGAGAGAGGGAGGAGCTAAATCCTGATTGGGGACAGGGCGGGGCTGGGGCAGGAGGGCACTGAGGGGCTGGAGCGGGAGGGACACTGGGGGGCAGTACGGGAGGGGCTGGGGCAGGTGGGCACTGGGGAGCAGTGCGGGAGGGGATGGGGCAGGAGGGCACTGGGGGGCAGTACGGGAGGGGCTGGGGCAGG